GCGAGCGAACCCGCGCGAAACAATTCCCTACTCTTCCGTCACTCTCACTGATAGTACAGTGCCCGTCGCAAAATGTATCGATGGGCGGCGAAGCGGCTGCTACCGGTTCTGGGCTGCCGAAATCCTCATTTCCGATGCTCATCCTCAGGCAGTCGAGCCGTAGCAGGTGTTATAGACTCGGCGCGATTTTCAACATCAGCTGCCTCGGAGACAATTCGTGACCAAAATCACAATTTTGACTCTTTTGCATCATCATCTTCTAAGGCGTGGAGCCAAGAAGAAAGGTCGAGTTCCCACGATGAAACTCATCGATGTAGAACTACGACTCGACCTAGAGCTCACTGGCAGGATGAACAGAAGCGTGTTCTTCATGCATCTCTCCGTCACGTGGTTGGCTTCCTTTTCTTTCTCCTTTTTATCGAATGTGTCTTGAATATTATGTATTTGCTGCGTGCCTCTGTGATCAACGGTGTTCATAAACACTGAGTAAATGTACGGAATGTTTAATTTTTGGCTGCTTGGATTTAGGGCTTCGGAATTGGATTGCGTGAAAAGATTAATTCAATTTTTAATCGTTTTCAATTCTTCCCCCTTAATTTCACTAAATGAATGCAAGTTATTTTATTTTATTTTTTTCACTTGAAGATTGGAGGGAGGATGTTGACATTTTATGAGCTTGTTTAGTAGAGATTAAAATCAGATTAAAATTGAAAAACTAGTTGTTATTGTTGACTTTTATTAGACGAGTTGGACCCAATAACGGTTATATTTTCAATTTTAATTGGATTAAAATTCTCCCAAACAAGCTCATAAATGTTTTTGTGAAGAGAAAAATTGATATTTAGAAAAGAAAGAATATGTTAATCGACTTACATTTGGGTTGAATCACCTTGCTAATTTTTGTTAACAAATATATGGTTATTTTATTTTATTGTTTATTAAGGGTAGAATAGTCTTTTCAATTTCCTTTATTTAGCCTATATATAGTCTCTTTGTTTTTAGGTTAAATCATTTTTTTGTATTCAATTGCATTATGCAGAATTAATGAAACCATAGCCTCATTTTCCTTTTCTTTATTTCTTTGGATTGTTTAACATGGTATCAGAGCTATTTCGATCCTAAACAAATTAACTTTTAAATTTCGTATTCGGCGCTCGCCCGGCCAATTGTTGGGATCCAGTGCAGAGGTAGCTAAGGTTTTAAAGATTTCTCGGTGGTACCTAACAATAGATTTGAAGAAGACTTTGGTAGCCAATATTGAATTCTTAGAAAGTTGTGGTGTAGACACGGAGCAAATAATAAAGCAAATATATAATTTTCCAAGGTTTCTCTATGAAAAAATTTGTTAAAAAGGTTGATGAGATGGGGACTTGTAGAAGTTCAAGATTGTTTATTCATGTTGTTAGGGTTGTTAGTTCGATGACTGATGAGAATTGGGAGCTAAATTTAAAGCATTTTAACGAATTGGGGCTCCGAAGATTAGGAGATAGTTTAGTTTGTGGGACATGGTATTAGCAGTAGTAGTATAGGACATTATTAATTAAGTAGAAGAAGATGATTAAAGAAGATTGTTAGTGCAAGAAAATGGTTTTTTTGGGTTTAGTATTAGGTTAAATAAATGCGAGTCTGTTGATGCAACAACTCAGCTTTTTGTTTGGTTCGAGAAAGTGGTTAATGGCAGTTCCTTTTCTTGTTCCCTTTTGAATGCTGCATTGCTCATTTGGAGCATATTCTTGATAGAGTGATTGAATTGGATTTTGTTCTTCGTCAAATAGCGATTTGTCGGGCTCAGGCTTTAGAGACTGAGATTCAGAATATGGGTTCTTATCAGAAATTAGGGTTTGATAATCAAGAAGTTGAAGGAGTGAAAATTAGTATTGTTGGCTTGAGTTTAATATGGTCCAAAAGTATTAGTATTGGCAGTGGGCTATTGGTTTTGTGTTGATGTAGGGCTTATGTTTATGGCTTGTGTTA